CATTTGAAGAAGATGGATGTTAAAACTGCATTTTTACATGGTGATCTGGAGGAGCAGATTTACATGGAGCAACCAGAAGGGTTCACTCAACCTAGGAAGGAGCATCTGGTTTGCAAGTTAAAGAAATCGTTGTATGGGTTGAAACAGTCTTCAAGTCAATGGTATAAGCGGTTCGACTCCAACATGATTCATATTGGCTACAAGAGATGTGAGTATGATTGTTGTGTCTATTTCAAGAGCCTTGATGATCACTCTATTATTTTTTTGTTACTGTACGTTGACGATATCCTGATTACTGCAAAGAAAATGCATGATTTCTGTGGTTTGAAAGCTTTATTGAGCCAGGAATTTGACATGAAAGACTTGGGTGCTACGAAGAAAATTCTTGGAATGGAGATTTATCGAGATAGAAGCTCAAGACGATTGTGTTAATCTCAACGATGTTATGTTGAGAAATTGTTAGATAGATTTGAGATGAGCAAAACAAAGCCTGTGAGCACTTCATTGGCAAATCATTTTAAGCTTTCTTCAGAACAGTGTCCTAAGACAGATACAAAAATTGAAGACATGTCAAAGGTTCCATATGCCAGTGCAGTTGGTTGCTTGATTTATGCAATGATATGTACTCGTCCTAATTTGGCTCATGTTGTTAGTTAAGTCTGCAAATACATGTCTAAACATGTAAGGCGACATTGGGAGGCTGTCAAGTGGATTTTCAGGTATCTAAAGGTAGTGTAAACCATGAAATTTTTGTGGCAGTCAGCAGAATGATCTTTCAGTTGTGCGGTACTTGGATTCAGACTATGGAGGCAATTTGGATGGCAGAAGGTCTACAACTGGTTATGTGTTTACTCTTGGTGGAGGACTTATATGTTGGAAATCAACAGTTCATTCTATTGTGAAATTATCTACAATTGAAGCTGAGTACATGGAAATAACTGAAGCTGCTAAAGAAGCCTTATGGCTTACTGGGCTAGTAAAGGAACTGGGTGTTGAGCAAGGTGGAGTTCAGTTGCATTGTGATAGTCAAAGTGCTATTTATTTGGCTAAGAACCAGGTGTACCATGCGAGAACTAAGCATAGTGATCTCAGGTATCACAAGATCAGAGAATTGAATACTTCTGGTGAGATACTGTTGCAGAAGATTTATATTGATGAAAATGCAGCTGATATGTTGACTAAGCCAATTACTATCAAGAAGTTCTTGCATTGTTTAGACTTGTTGAATGTTTGTAGTTGCTAGACAACATGGTAGCCCGACCCACTTTGGTGCATGTGAGAAACTCCAAGGTATTTTCTTTCTCCTAAGGGGCTAGATATTCGCCAAGGTGGAGATTTGTTAGGTATGACTCATATACCATACAGGGGACATATTCTGGAGTGGAGCGGAAGTCTCTGTCCAATTGGAGGAGTTTTTCATTATGGCGTTGCCCTCGCGGTACGGTACATGAGTAATTTTATAATTACATATTGTACTCCAGGATTATATATATATGTCTGTTTGTAACCCTAGGGTTTATTATGTATTTTGTACTCTTTCTGAATTGAAGGAAAATCACCTCTCTGCTCCCGAGGACGTAGGAATATTTATCGAATTTCGTTAAATCTCTGTGTTTTCTTATGGATTTGTGTTGATTCCTGTTTTTCTTTGCCCTAAAATTCTCAACAATATTAATGTCGAACCTTTCAACAAATTGAAAACATAAATACAATATAATGGTCTGGGTGGGTGATGCACCTGCAGTCAAAATTTTTGTGAGTTATTTGAAAATCGGCCAAACTACTCAATTTTGAAGACATCAAATTTGTTTTAAGAATCAAATTTTTAATTTTCAACAATTTCATATAACATTCAATTTTTTTTTCAACCGAAAAACCCTTACAATTGGCTTGCATTACACTAGCCAAACAGCCCTCGAAATGAGCATAAAATGCATCCTTGGTAGACAAGGGACTCAAATAAAATCATCATTGCGTCAGTACTTTAAACTAAACATCTAGTATTAGTAATTAAATATGCATGATAAAAGATTCCAAGTTAAAATAAAAAACAAACATATACGAAAGGTTTTATTTTTAACATAATTATAAACCTAACTCTGGCGGTATATCTATGTATGAATGTATGTATGTGTTTATATATATATTATATAAAATTTTATTTAGCTCAGAATCAGGAGGCACTTAAGTGTTTTCTTGTTTAGGGTTTAGGGATATCTGTAGTAGAAAACTATTTTTTCAACATGAGCTGGTAATATGCGGTGACTGACAGAAACTATAATATGATGATTTGAAAATAAAATAAAAATGTATCAGCAACCATAATCTTTCGAAGATGCAACAGCTTCACAATTACTTTTTAATCTGCTATTGCTGTCCGAAACAAACTCTCACTATACCAGGGCAACAAAGCCACTCTCCTAGGCTTAAGGAGCCTTAGAGATTATATCTTTTAAGGTTTTTCACGCCACAATCACAAAATTCACATTTCAAGATTTAATAATAAATATATTAAATAATTTATTTTTATATCCACCATTCCTTATACCTCCAAAAAATGTATAAATTTAAGGCTACAAGTGACACGGCATAATGGTTATAATTATATATATATTATTTTGGACTAGTATTATGTATGTGTGTATGTGTGTGTGTGTTTTGCTAGACTTAATTTTATGTTAAATATGATTTATCAAATTAGATGAATCTTGAAAAAAATCAGGCTAGTGATTAGATTTATGTCATAAAGATGAAAGAACGTGGGAAGCGAAAGACTAAAAACACAAGAAATTTAGATTTTAAGAAGAGTTGGATTTAACTTTTTATTTTTATTTTTTGGTGTTTGTGTTGGTGTAAGCTAAATCAATGATAATTCCATAAATAATATTCTATCCCAAATCTTATATTAACTTTCATTTTTCAGTCTTATGAACTTGTTTCCTTTGTATAAGCCATAGTCGCTCTCTGTGGCAAATATGGGAGTCTGTAATACTTCCAGAAACTTTTCTTATTTTCTTTCAAGTCTTTTCTTAAGTTGCTCCTCGGATTCATGCGGAAACTTGCGACGAATTCCTTCGCGATTTATTTAATGAAAATCCATAATTTTTTATATTTTAATCAAAATTTTTAACTCTTTATGACTTGATAATGTAATGGATTTGTTTCAGCTTTTTTTTTTTTAAGATCAATTGAATGCCACTATTTAAGCAGGTCGTGCTTTTGTGATGCTCCAGAATAAATTACACAGAATCTGAGAGTCGGAAAAGAAGCGAACCCGTTATCGGCTTTGAATTATGCTTCTCATTCTATCAATTGAAAAAACATTACATCAGTACTACGCATGTAGAGTAACGTGCGTAGCCAATGAAATCACGCCACGACACCCCATGCGATAGAGAAACAAAACGGCGCAGTAACACGAGAAATATTCTCCCACGTGTTATTCATGTGTTATTGTTTGTTATTCATGTGTTATTGTGTCTTGGGAATATTCCTGGTATTAAAATAACACAATAACACATCAATAACACATGAATAACACACAATAACACATGAATAACACGAGGGAGAATGTTCCCCCGTGTTACTGCGATGTTTTTTTCTCTGTCGGGAGTATTCCCGGTGTTATTCAGGTGTTACTGTGTGCTATTCATGTGTTATTGTGTCCTGAGAATATTCTTGGTGTTATAATAACACAATAACACATCAATAACACATGAATAACACAAGGGTAAATACTCCCCGTGTTACTGCACCGTTTTTTTTCCCTGTCGTGTGGGATGTCGTGGCGTGATTTCATTGACTATGCATGTTATTTCTACATGCATAGTACTGATGTTATATTTATTCCTATCAATTATGGTTCATGAACAAGAAAATCTGGATGTAATTATTACAGTTACAATTATGCAGTGAAAACAAAAATTAAACAATTGAGATGGCTAAGCAAGCCAAAATTTTCTTAGAAGCTAATTTTAGAATATATTTTTAATAATAGATTTGATACCACTAAAATCTATTTTTAAGTATAAAAATTTATCAAAATGGTCATTTAGAATTTGAATATGTGTTTTACGATTCTTTACATTTTTAATAAATAAAATTTTTCATTGAGTTTGATTCAATTTTTTTTTTCAAGTAAATTATATCTATTATTCTTTATTTGAATTTATTTTTTTGAAAGTGTATGTATAATTAAAATTAGATGCATTCGTACTATTTTGATACCGTTGGCATAGGCTAATTTAGACGACTCTTAGAAGCAATATTATAATGTGCAATGAAGTTAATATTAAAATAAATTTGGTTTATTGGTATAATGAATTTTTTTTTTGTAAAGAATACGATTCTACATATAATAAGCGACAAAGGCCTAAACTTCTAAGAAACTTCGATGCTTTATTTATTGTTGCCGTCGATTTGTCTAATGGAAAAAGCTTCTATTAAGATTTGAGATAAAGATAGTATTGTAATTTGTAAATATGTATTTTAACAAGGCTATAATACATAATGTTATTTATATAAAAATAATAATTTCACTATTAGGATTTGAGGCTGTTATTTATCACCGGCCAAAAATACATGCTCTGCAACCAGTTTGTTCAACAAAATAACACAGATAAAATGAAGCTCTTACATTTGAAATGTCACAAATTAGTCAGCGACAGTTAGGATTATTTATGGAAAATGATGAAGATATTTCTCGAAGCAAATTTTTAAGCACTTGTAAAAGAAAAAAAGCAATATATTACTAGGCATATAAAATAAAAATTTCCCTAATATTAAAGTTATTAAGAGGCATTAGATCTTTTAGTGTCATAAAAATAATATGACACGAGTAATAAAATTAAAAAAAAATATTTAAAAATAACTTTTTAGGGAAGTAAAAAAAGTAGATAAATTTAAAATTCGAATTGCAAAGCAAGCCAGAGTCAATATGTCAACAACAACCCACAACCCACAACCCACAACCCACATTAATAAAAGGATCCGCAAGCAGAATAAAGAAAACCCCCTTGTAACGACTAACAAACCATAGTATCTTTATCAGCGGATCATATTACATATCCGTCCAAAGCACAAATTTATATCACCCATGTGAGAACCATAAGTCTCCTTTCCAGAAACTCCATGCCCATGCGGGCTCGCCTTCCTTCCAACACCACCGCATTACACTTACACAAATCCTTAATAAATATTTCTAGTTAATTGGTACACGTTATAGCTAACTATAATGAGAAAAGCCTCAGCGGGTGCTAAACAATATGAAGCAACCACAGCTCCTAGTCTGGCTCACAACTCTCAATTAATCAGTAATAGTAGAGATCAGAACTGGCTGCCCTCGAAGGTCTGGCCAAACTGCCATCCCGCCGGCGCTACGTCGTTGCTGGTGATGATGCGGCCGTCGCTGGTGGTCACTTGGAATGAAAGGCTCTGCCCGTTGAGGAACGAGTTGCTCTGCCAATTCTGTCCCCAGTTTCGGGACATCGCTTGCCATCCGGTGTTCGATCCCTTGATAGACACCGCGTGCACGTCTCCGGCGCCACCGACATTGGTGATTAAAACAAGATTGAAGTAGGAGTGGCCGTTAATTGTGAATCGAATACCTCCTTTCTTGGCACAGGGGACCCTGTTGTGATTAACGCGTTAGAGCTGATGAATGGGGAGGGATCAAGGCTACAAAGAGAACAGACCTGCGGAAGGCGACGGGGACAATGCCGGCGCGGTATTGAGCGATCTGGAGGAAGGCAGGCTCGGCGAGATCGAAATGCTGGAGGGGAGGGTTGCACCAGCCGCCGTTGTCGTTGGGCAGGGCGTTGTTGGGTGGGCAAAAGTTTGTGGCTGTGACGATGATGGAGCCAGGCAGGCACCATCTGGGATCATCATCGCACCGCATTTCGTAGCATGATCCGCAGCTCATGCCGTTGTTGAATAATGCTGTGCTCAGTGCTGCGGTGTTGGTGCCGTACCCCTGGCTGTATAGATTTCCATAGCCACAAGCCCCTCCTGCGAACATTAGCAAGGCAGTTATGTCAACAAATAAGGGATTATGGGTCCAAATTCTGTAAATGTGAAAGCTGTTGGAGAAAGAGGCTCACCCATTGTGCCGGAAGCATCGCCGCCTCCATAGAAGGTTGCGTGGGCACCTTGCCAGCCGTAGTCGTCGGCGGAAGCTGCGGCGGCAAAGAGGAGGAGCGAGAAAAGGAGGGGGAGGGATGGTGCCATTGTTAGGAATTGGCGTTGGAAAGGAGAAATGATGATGGGTTTGGAGGTTTGAGGTGTGGAGAGGGAAGGGAGGGAGGAGGAGAACTTATAGGCGCGGGGTGCTTAGCCATGGAGAAGGGAAAAGCAGATGGGGAGTTAAGAGGAGGAAGGGGAAGTGCACATGCTTGAGTTTTGGCTGTAGCTGTGGGGCTCACACCCCATGTGACTTCAACTGTCTCTCCCTCTGTTGTCATCTTCCACCTCCGACAAATAAGATAAATTATCTTGTTAATCTTCGTGTTTGCACGAATTGATCCCTTAAGAACTTATTATCGATCTCGGTTTATCTAATGCATTTGGTTAACTCGCGTTATTTTTTTAAGTCCTTTTTTATGGTATGGGATTGTCTCGCAGCATCGGTTTTCTTTTCGTTACAGTTTTAATAAATGCTTTTCGTAATTCACCTGCAGAGCAGTTGAACAGTTGAGCAATCATTTTGTAAGACAAACAGTTACAAATTTCAGTAAAAAAACAATATTGATGGCAAGCATCCGAAAAGCGTTGTCTATTAAATTTTAATTCTAGATAGATAAATTACAAGTTTTGAAATATGAACTAAAGAAAATTTTATATATTTTGTATGTAAATGAGGACATGCGATCATAATTTCACATAGATGTGGCATGACATTTCTATTCTCATTTTTTTTATACATACTTATAAAATATATAATATTTTCTCATAATGTTGGAGCAGAAAAAATAATTTCTTTTATGACTGTTTATTTTATTTTAAAAAATCAAATAATAACCTGCTTATACTCATCATACTTGTCTTAAGAACTGTGGTGGCAGTTGAAACTCAAGGAAAGCAAAAAATTGACTTACAGATTCTTTTCTATAAACATAAGATCAATGTAAACCAAGAAGATTTGCTATTGATAAAAACATGAATACTAGTTTTGCATTAATATATTTATTTTTAATTTTTTTTTTTTAATTTGAAAAATTTTTGTTAATTTTTGGAATTATTTCAGGCATGATATTGTAATCTTAGAATACTATTAAAAAGATTTAAAAATTATTCAAAATGAAAAGTTAATCATTTTGTAATACATGTAGAGAACTTGTGGGTTGGGATTTGGAGGAGAAAGCGAGGGAATTTGGATTTTAACATTGCCAATATTAATTGATATGAATTAAATTAGAGTTACTGAATTTATTTTTAAGTCAATTGGGATAAATAATGTTAACCAAGTATGAATTTTTTTTAATGAAAAAATATATTATCTGTTGTTTATCCTGAATAAATAGATTTTATAATTTTTAATTAGTTACATAAACTGCTAATAATAAATTAGAATGATATTGGTCATAGTTAATCAAAATTTAATTAGAATTGATAATTGATGTATCATCAATAAATATTTGTCATCCAGCACAGATCTCGAGGCATGACATGAGTCTCGGGATAATTTTTAGACATTCAAACTTCAATTAAAAATGATCCAGAACTTCGATCTACGTAAACTTACAATCAAACTTACCAACTTGACAAGACAAACACAATTACACCAACATTTACATCAATCAGATTCCAATCCAGCCTAGATCGAGTGTTAAACCATTATTTAAAGCTTATGGTGCGTAAGTGGAAGATCAAACTAATTCCAAATCTGACAAGTTTATGTTCAAATTGAGTGTCTCGACAAGATAAGTCAAATAAATCCAAGATCACTCAATTGTGACATCATTAGGACACTCAAATATCTACAAAACATTATCTAATCGAGAAAACCTCTCCAACCCACATGATAGAGTGGTCTGAATTTCTTAAATATTTTCAGAGAGACCACTCAGACTATAAATAGAGCCCTTCCCCCTCTATGAGTCACACTGAAGATCCAGTGAAAGCCACCCGCACCTGCAACCGTCGACCACTGTAAACCATTGCTTGTCGGCTGCCATCGATAATTGTTAGCCATCCCACCACAAAGTGTAGCAATGCACCTCGAAGATGTTCCAACGACACACTGCAATGACAGTCTGAAAACACACACTGAATATTGTGCAACGACGTGTCCTATACACATAACAATGATGCCTCCTTATGATGTTCTAAAAATGCACCCATAATAACTGCTTAGAATGAAGTAAACCATTGCTTGTCGTGCACATGATATAGTGATTTTCTTTGAACTTTTGAAGCTCTCTCGTTGCAGCCCACCGCAACTATCAAAGTTTCCAACTTTGGCCTATCTGGTCATAGCTTATGTTGCTCCCAAATCTAACCTTAGCTTCTAATGAAAGGTATCACAGCACATGCAGCTCCCAACTTCAGTCTTTACGGCCTACCGACAATATCACAACTCATCTAGATCTAAATTCTTGACTATTTATCTTACATATATTCTCGTTGCATCTGTAGCTTTGAACTTTGACCTTTACGGCTTATGGATGTTATCGACCAGCATTCGAATATGGCCTTTATGGATTACAAATATTATTAGAGCTCGTGCAGCTCCCAACTCCGATATCTACGACTTACAGACTTTCTCACAACTACTACAGTCTTTATGCTACTGATTTGGTGTCAGAGGTTGGTCCTAAAAGGGAGGGAGTGGATAATATAGGTGATGTTGTGATTGTAGATGAACTTGAACCACAAGTCAGTCTTAATGTTTTTGATGTTGACCAACTAGTTCCCACAGTCCCAGAGGCTAAGCCATTATATTGGTGGAGGATATTGTGGAAGATTTACTGCAAATTCTTGCTCAGGGCTCTGATGAGGTGAACTGTAATGTGCCCCCCACCCCGTTCAATTAATTGAGGAAATGTAGCAAAGCCTCAAAGCTGAGTGACCGATTCAGAAAGGCAAGAGAAAGAAGAATATTTTTTTTGGATTTAAAGAATCTTTAAGAGGATACTTACATACTGGAAGCATGTAGCTCATATTCATCCAGAAGAGAGTCTCTTAGTGGAATTACCAAGGGGAGAGCCAAGCCTTCCCATCATGATTAACCTATTATGCAGGAACATTAGGGGGATTACTCACCCCCAATCCTTGACAAGGCTTGAGCATCTAAATATAAAACACAAGTTGTGGTGCATGTCCATTTGGAACCTTTGGTTTATAATAATCCTCAAAATTTTTTGAAACATTTTTATGGGTTTTCCCAGTTTACCAATGTAAATAATAAAATCTCGCTTTTATGTAGACAAAAGATATCTTGTTCTATCCTCATTAACCACCCCCAATTCCTTCATTTTTCTTTCAATATGGTTGGTCATACTGGCTTTGCTACTATCATTTATGCAGGTTGTACTAGAAGTGCAAGAAAGGAGCTATGAAATGAATAAAATCGTATCAGTAAGTATATGGATGGCTGCTGGTTGATTGGAGGGGATTTCATTTGTATAGCTTCCCCAAATGAAAATTTTTGGGGTAGACCTCCTATTTTGTCTACTTTGATTGATTACAATGACAATATTCACTCAACTGGTTTGTTTGATATAGGTTTTCAAGGACCACAATTTATATGGAGTAGAGGACATATATGGGAAATACTTGATAGATTTTTAGTCAATGTTCTATGGTTTAGGACTTACTTGAACACTACTGTTACTCATCTTAGACTTGCTGGGTCAGACCACAAACCTCTTCTCATCTCAATTACTACTACACCCACCCAAAGTTCAACACCTTTCAGATATATGAATATGTGGTTTGGTCATTCTAAATTTCTCAACATTATTTTAGCCAACTAATAGGGCATTGAACATCTAAATCCACAGGTTAAACTTTGGCAGCTGCATAAGCAAGTTGGCAAAGCCCTCAAACAATGGAATTGGTCTAAATTTGGGAATGTATTCAAAATGATTGAACAAGCAGAAAGGGATCTAGTGGCCTTAGAAAATGATGTTGTTACTGGCTTGGCAGATGTGACATGCTTTTTGGAAGCTAATGAGATGCTCCTTACAGTTGTGGTCTGACGAGAAAGTTTTCTAAGACAAAAGACTTCTATTAGCAGGTTTCTTAATAGGGATAGAAACACAAAATATTACCATGTGTGTATCAAGTACAGAGGAAAATGCAATGTCATTCACACTATCAAAAATGAACAAGGGAGATGGTTACAAAATACTTCTGATATTTCCCAGGATGCAGTTGGATTTTTTTAACAGTTACTTACGTGTTCCTCCTCTCATAGAATTTCTAATGATTCAACCATTTTCCTTGAGGACCACTTCTACACCAGTGTTGAAACTTGCTTAAGTTTCCACAGAGGAGGAAATACGGAATGCATTAACCACTATTAACAGTGGTAGGATTGCTGGACTTGGTGGGGTCACATATGATTTTTATAAAAACAAATCTTTGAGGATTATTAAAGAGGATATGTTTAAGTCCATACAAAGCTTTTTCCAAGGGACTGATCTTCCCAACTATATTTTTGCTTCTAATATAGTTCTCATTCCTAAAACCTCTATAAGGGACCAGTGTAATAATTTCGGACCAATTAGCTTCATCAATGTTATTAGCAAAATTATAAGCAAAAGCATAGGGGGTAGGTTACAACCACACTTAACTCATCTTATCAGTCCTAACCAGGTAGCCTTCGTCAAAGGAAGATGTATTGGGGACAATGTGCTCTTAGCCCATGAGTTGTTGTATGATCTTAACAGACCTTGCAGAAGGGGGAATCTAATTTATAAACTTGATTTGAAGAAGGCTTATGACATGATCCATTGGGACTTCATAATGGAAACATTGGTAGCCAGGGGATTTACCAGTGACTTATGTAATTTAATAAATAGATGGTTGAATGGAGATGCTCACTCCATATTTCTTAATGGGAGAACTCATGGTTACTTTAAGGCTACAAGGCGTTTGAAGCAATGAGATCCACTCTCTCCTCAATATTTATCCTTGCTTTGGAATACTTATCATGGTTGCTGGATAAATCAATCACAGAGAAGACCTACACTATATACCATCACAAATCTAATTTAGCAATCGACCATCTAATTTAAGCAGATTCTATTTTCTAGGGCTAACAATGTTGTAGTAAAGCTAATACACAAATGCTTGATGGAGTTCCAAC